CACTTATATATGGAATCTTACAAACACACACACACAACCAAGCTCATAGATACAGAGGACAGATTGCTGGTTGCCAGAGTTGCAGGTGCAGGGGGTAGGGACGGGGAAGAAATGGGTGAAGATGGTCAAAAGGTACAAACTTCCAGGTATAAAATAAATAAGTCATGGAATGTAATGAACAGCATGGTGACTATAGTTAATAATACTGTATTGCATATTTGAAAGTTGCTGAAAGCAAATAGGTCTTAAAGGTTCTCATCACAAGAAAAAAAATTCTGTAACTCAACAGTGATGGATGTTAACTAGACTTATGGTGATCATTTCACAATACATAGAAATATTGAATCATTAAGTTATATACCTGAAACTAATATGATGTCTGTTAAAAAAAAATTCACAACCTGGGGTAAGCCTGGGCCCTGGCCAATCACAACACATGCTGGCCAGGAACTAGTGGGTTGAAAGTTCCGGGTTGTCCGGCTCATCATCAATGCAGGCTCTTTCTCTTTCCTTCCCTGGACCTGGATGTGGGCTTCTAGGTTCTACCTTGACGCCATTCTGCTTGGCCCGTGGCCTCTCTCTGGGTGAGTTCACCAACTCCCCTGCTCCAGTCCCCCACAGCACCCCCGTGACCCCCTGACTCTGCCTGCTTATTGACAATTTCTATCAGGTAACATACAGGACTTCAAAACTCAGCGGGTTGGAAATCACACTCAGTATTTCCTCCCCACTCTCTTCCTTGGCCACACATGCAGAAGGACACACACACACACACACACACGCACACACATCCTCCTCTCACGAACACCCATCCCATCTGATAGGTCCATTTTTCTCAAAGCATTCCTTTCCTTGACCTCTGTGACACCACCCTATTCAATTACAGATCTCTAAATGAGCTGCTTAGATTCTGTGCTTTGGAAACATCTATGAAACAAAATGGAAGATAATTTGCTCAGCACTGGAAACCTAGAAATGTCTCCATCCAAAAGCAGACGGACGTTAAATTCACCCAGCCTGTCTCTGATCACGGCATCACCTTTCCCAAGGCTCCTCCAAACCCACCACTCTCCTCTGAATCCCTGAAATACGAACTCTGGAATCCACTGTTCATCTCCTCTCCTAAATGCAATAAAGCCTGAACAGCCAGGGTTACTGATCTGTGAAAAGTACCTCACAGTGGATTGCAGGCCCGCTCTAATTCAAAACAATTTCAAACAATGGGTGTGTCTGAATTGGGGGCTGCACCTCCTGCAGTGGGGGACCTGGATGACGGATGACGTTAACAGCCCTTTGTTTCTAATCCCAGGCACTCAGACAGTGACCGTCGCTTCCTCTTCATGAGTAAATGTAGACACGGATGCCCTACAGGATCCACAGCTCCCAGGGAGAGAAGAAGGGAGGCAACTGTATATCCCACTCAATGGGTGCCGTCAACCAAGACGAGCCACCATCAGGACAAGAGGCCCTAAGCGGCCACTCCGTAGAAACAGCTGCATCTGAGGGGTTCTCCGGGGAGGCTGGGTGAGCTCTGCCTGCTTCTGGCAGCATGAAGGGCCCACGCTCTCTAGGGCCTGTCTGCATTGTCTACCCAACTCCTCCAGTTCCCTCAGATCTGATCAAACCCGGGAGAACTGACTCGTGTTAATCAGATGCACAGAAGCTGGGGAACCAACAATTTACTCTAAATTTACAAGGGGGTTATTACTGTGCCTTTTAAATGTCCAGAACATACATTTGTTTACTATTCTGCACACCAGTGGGCCTTGAACACTGCCTAGATGTCAGAAGGTTTTGAGTGAACCAAGCAACATTTCCTCAAGTCGACCCCTTAGAACACTGGATCCGGAAGATGTTCCATGGTTCTGTGGCCAAAAGAAGCTGGCAAACATTACATGTTATGGAGTCATCCTAAAGAGTCCCAATGCACATAATGATAATAAAGGCACTGAAAAGTCCTGCAGTGGAAAACCTGCTTAACTCTAGCATTTCTCTAAAGCATTTTACGCAAGTAACTCTAGTAATTCCTTAGTAAAACTGCCTCCTAAAACACCACTGTGTAAATTCTGCTCTGGACATACACTGCGTGGGATGTGCATCTGAGCAGGGCCACCTCTAGCAAGTCAGCAGTGGTTCAGCAAAATGATTACTGGGCCTGGAGCCCTGGTTCCAACTTTGGTGCTTTGACCTCTCCAGGCCTCTGTTTTCCCACCTACCAAATGGAATTGTTAGTATTGTTGTGAGAAACAACTGAGATATTATCTGGACAAGCATTTTATAAAGCACTGTAAAAACATTATCTGCTGGGATTTCCCTCGTGGTGCAGCGGTTAAGACTCCACGCTCCCAATGCAGGGTGCCCGGGTTCGATCCCTGGTTGGGGAACTAGAATGCTGCATGCCACAACTAAAAGACTCCACATGCTGCAACTAAAGATCCCTCACATGGCAACGAAGATCCCGCGTGCCGCAACTAAGACCTGGTGCAGACAAATAAATAAATAAATATTAAAAAAATAAAATGTCAAGGGCAATAATAGTGACATTAAAAAAATATTATCTGCTAAGGATATACTTATTGCCCTGTAACTCCTCAAAATGCTTTTTACAGGGGGATACTTCTGTTCACTTGTTCAACACCCATTCCTTAAGTGTTAGAACTTGGAGCTGGCTCTCACCCTTAGGAAGTTCACCGTGGGCAAATGGCGGCCATTGCATACTGCTCATAAGTAATACACACCCAAGGAATTCTGGTGCCGTACCAGGGAATCCTTCCCAGCTGAAACCACTAGGAATCTTGAAGGATCATCAGGAGGACTGGATATACGAGGGGAATGGGACACGGAGCAAAATGATGGAATGCAGGCCGTGTGTGCTGCTTGGGCCCAGTTGAGGTTGACCTCCCAGTGGTGACTGCCCTTGGAGAGAGGAGAAATGAGTTATCTGTCTCCTCCAAGCAGTGGGGGAGGATTTACCTCTGAAAAGAGGTATTTCTGGAGAAGGAACTCCTCTTTGTTGTGGGTAGTGGCCCTTGAATTTGGCCAAGGGGAGGAGGACCTCAGGCCGGGAAAAGGGGGCTGCTGGGAAGTTATCTCTAAACAAGCGCATACCACAGACCTGGGAGTCAAACTGCTCCCATCTTCCCCTGCATTGGAGTGGGGAGTCAAGGGTGGACTTTTTAGGGCTCCTTCTCTACTCAGATAACCTGTCTGTGGGACAGTGTCTCCAGACAAAGAGGTCACAGCAGCAGGTTGGTCTTCTCACATCCCCAGACTCCAAATGCTGAAGGCGGAGTCCCCAAACCCCAAAGCTCCTGTCAACCACCAGCCTACTTTCTAGAGTCCCAAATGTGAGTCTCCCCCCCCCCGGCCCCTCCCAACCCACGGCCCCCGATGCCCTCTGTGGAGGTGCCAGAGCAGGGACTGCACGATTGTTCTAGAGACACGTTGGAAAAGAGAAAATGCCCAACTTTATGTCCACTCGTCAAAATACTCTCGCATATCTGACCTGGGTAAAAAGTTAGTAAGAGTTCCACAGTCTAAAAAATAACTTAAAAGGGATAAGAATCTGAATATATATATATATGTGTGTGTGTGTGTGTGTGTGTGTAATTGATCACTTTGCTGTAACCTGAAAATAACACACTGTAAATCAACTATATACTTCAATTTAAAAAAATTTCATAGTAAAACCAAAAAAACTCATGACTATATACAAAGTCGGCATTGCATATCTGCTGCATGCCACTGTCAAGCCTCATAAACCCCCAGGTGGGGTCCAGATAAACTGAGGGCGACTGGAAACACTGCTTCCATTGAACAATGATGCAAGGTCATAGGACTTGATGTAAAATGTTGATATTTTGTTCACTGTGGATTTTTTACACGCAATTTGATGTTTTTCAATATCGCATTAAAACACTATTTTTCTTAATGACCGATTTCCGCCAGATGTTTGCTTTTGCTGCAATATTTACAAAGTCCTGTTGGTCCGAAGAGTGCTCTGGGGTTTCCTTGTTGATGACAGCATGTTCCTAAGAAATCCCACTGTGCCTGAAACCCTCAGGCCTGCAAGAAACTACCGCTCCACAGCGCTCGGGTTCGTGCGCGGCTTCCTCTGCTGCCTTAGGAAAGCCCCCACCTCCACCCCCCCCCCCGCCCCAGGATCTGAGAGCTCAGAGGAGAAGCAAGGCGCCGGTTAGGGCCCAGGGGGTCGGTCGCGCCCTGTATTTCTTGGCAACACATCACAGGCTTTAAAGCTGAATTCTGCAAACTCCCCGCCGTCCCGCGGCCGTCAAGGGGCGCGGGTGGGTGGACGCTGCGCTGGTGGGAGCCGAGGCCAAGCCCGGGGGGTGGGGGTGGGGGCGAGGAGGCCGCAAAGTGGGAAAGTGGCCCCCTTGCTTCCCGGCAGGAACCCGGGCTCCTCCTCCGCCTGCCATCAATCACCGCGACAACCCCATTGCCCCCAGCCCGGCTTCTCCCCCCGGGGGAGGAAATCCCTAGCCCGAGCGTCCGCCCCGCTCACGGGCTGAGCGCACGTACCCGGTCTGCGCCGGGCACCCAGGCGTGCGACCCCGCTCCGGGCCGCGCGTGCCGGCGCGGGGCGCACTTGACACCCCGTAGGCGTCCCCGCAGGTAGAACTCGACCAAAGTCCCTACCCTCCTCCGCCGCGCGCGCCCGCACCCACACCCCGTGCGCCCGCACCCGCAGGTTCGGCGGCCCCTCACCACCCCCACCCCGGCAGAAGTCCGCTTAAGATCCTTGCCCGGAAGCCCACCCTGCCCCCGTCCCGGCGCCCCCACTCCCTGTTCCCCCCTCCCCCGCCCGTCCCCCAAACCCCCGAGGCCGCTCGCTCGCTCTGCCCCCAGGCCTCAGGGGAGGAGCGTGCGAGGAGCGGCACCCGTGCCTCGAACCCCGCAACGCCCCCGCCCCAGTCTAGGAGTCTCCCGGCGCGCCGGGTGCGGGCACAGGGGGTGGGGTCTCCGCTGCCACCGCCCCTTACCTCGCGCAGGCCCTCCCCGCAGGTCCCGGAGGCGGGGGCGACCGGTGGCCCCGCGGACTAGCGCGGGGCTGACTTTCCCCGCCCGGGAGGAGGAGGAGGAGGAAGAGAAGGAGGGGAGGTGGAGGCGAGGGAAGGGCTTTGTGTCTGCCTCCCGCCCTCCCTCGGCTCCAGCTCTAGTCATCCCCCTCCCCCAACCGCCCTACCAAGCTCGGGAGGGATGGGGCGGGGGAATCCGAGGGGGCGAGGAAGGCGCCTGCGCGACCGGGGCCCCCAGCGCCCCCGGTACCGCCCACCCTCCGCTGCGGGGACGCGCAGCCTCTGCGCTCACCCGGGGACCAGGGACCCAGGCTGCAGGGAGGAGAGCTGGACCAGGAAGTTGATCTAACCCGGAGCGAACTTGGCTGGCCCGGCTCCCGCCCCGCCTCGGCGCCGCCGCCCGGCTCTTCTCAGTCCCCGGGGAGGACCGGACTTTTGTTCTCGGAGACTCGGCCCAGTCTCCTTTCTATCCGCCCATCACAGGGCAGCACACACGCTTGCACCCCCTTCCCGTGACGAGCCCCGCCCCCCCCCCAGCGGACCCCGATCCGCCGCGCGGTCTGGGAGCCCCAGCTGGGGGGGCCCGCGTGGGCGCGGCCCTTTGTCCCGGGTTTGGCCGCGCCGTGTCCCCGCCGCAAGGTGTTTTGCTCGTTCTCGCTGGGTAGGGGGCCGCCTGGGTTGGTTTCTGTGTGTTCAGGGCCACCCAGCCCCGGCCGTGCGGGAGCGAGAGCGGCGGGGAGGAGGGATGTGGTTTGGCTCCGCGCTGGGAAACCTTTATCACCCCTGGGGAGGCGACGCGGACAGGCGGGGAGCTGCTGGCCGGTTGTCGGCCAGGAACCAGCAGTCGTCTTTCTTCCGAGTCGGGCGGGTCCCTGGTGAGCTGCTGAGTTTTCCCACTTCCCCGCTGGGGAGAGCACCTTTGCAGAGAAATACCTAACAGCGTTAGAGTTACCGAAGTAGCTGGTGTCGCAAAAAAAAGACCAAAAACCGCAAAGACACCTGTTTCGGACAGAGCAGAAGAAGGAAACAAACGGACAAAGACCTTATTTTTGCTCCTGTTCTGCTTCAGACCAGTAGCCAAAGAGGCGACTTAGATTTCACTGGTGTCGGCTCTTGTGAATCCTGCCTTCTAAAATCCCCAAATTTATTTTTCATTTGTACTCAGCTCAGCTCCCAAGAAAACATAGCCCACTGTGCTTCTCTTCTGTTCCAAGTCAACCATTCAATAAAGAATTGAGCACCTGCTATGTGACTGGCACTGCTCAAATGTTTGGGATGAGCTGGGAACAAAAGATTTTTGTTACAGATTAGAAACAAAGATCTCCCTGCCTTGGTGGAGCTGGCCTTCTGGGGGAGTAGGGGCAGAGGGTGAACCATGAACATCAATAAGTTAATTATCTGGGATGGTAGAAGAGGTCAGTGATAGGGAACCAAAGAAAAAGTAGAATAAGGAGGCCAAATAGGGAGGTTGGGGAGTGCTAGTGTGTGGTGCAACGTGTGGGATCCAACAGGTGGGGTAGTCAGAGGAGGCTTGCTTGAGAAGGTGGGATTTGGGCAGGTGAGGAAGGGAATACCTGGGGAGAGAACTAGGGCAAAAGGCTCTGAGCCACTGGCTGGAAATCGTGAGGGTCTGAGTGGAGAGTGATATGGTCTGGCTATATTGCTGAAAGATGGGCCTGATGCTGTGTAGGAGCGTCTACTGTAAGGGGCAAAGGTGGAAACAAGTTAGGAGACTGTTGAGATAATCCTGGCTGGAGATGAAGGTGGCACAGAGCAGGGTGGTGGCACTGGAGCTGGAGGGAAGTATGGACTCTTATTTATTTTGCAGGTAGAACAGTCAGGAATTCCTCTGCGGTTGGATACGTTGGCAGAAGGGAGAAGTAGACAGAGACAGACCTGGTCCCACATCTCTCCTCCTTCTCTCCCTTCTTCCGCCGGATTGATTGTGTTTTGTAGACAAAGTGCCCCAGGTAAATGCTGAACAGGTATGGCCTCTGCTCATTTCTTCCTGTTATTTCCCCTGTCTCCCTTTCCAGGCACCCTCCTGAAAACGTCCTTCGTCTTGTGGACACAGGCTCAATCTGTTCCAGAACTCGGGGCCCATTTGGCCCTGTCCCCTACCCCACCCCCCACCACCGGAAAACATCTTACTGTAGAGATGGATTTGGGGTTATTCATCAGAACTATTTATTGAGGAGCAACTGTGTATGTGCAAGCACTGTTGTAGGCTCTGGGGCGATAGCAGGGAACCAAAAGATAAAACATTGTGTTCTCCTGGAACCCACGGTCTCATGGGGAGGGAGGCCAGAAACCAGATGAGCAAGGAAAATATGTGACATGGTTGATGAAACGTACCATGGAAAAAAGTTAACCTGGTTGGGGGGGTGGGGAAGAGAGGGTGCTGGGGAGGCTGCGATTTAAGGTAGGCGGTCGGAGAAAACTCCAGGAAAAAAACCCAAACAACTCTAAAATAACAAGGCTTGGAGCCTCTCAGGGACTTACACTCGGCAGGTTTGGCCTCCTGCTCTGGGTCCCTGGAGATGGCAACGTGCGCTCCAATCAGCGGCAGAGATCACAAGTGCTCCAGGGGTACTTCTGTCAGCTGAGGGCCAGCCAGCCAAGAAAATGTCATTTCTAATGAAGTTATTTCCCTGCCAGAGTAAACCAAGCAGCACTGGTCTGGAAGCACTGCCCAGAGCTGGCAACTCATCAATTTGTTTCTCTCCTCTGTCGAGCAGGGCAAGTCGAGGTGAGTGTCCTCTGCGCACAGAATGACCTCAGAAGAGTGGCTTTGTACTCCAGGGTCTGAGCTGTACCGTAATCACGATAATAATCATGGCCATTCTTTATTTTTTCATCTGCAGTGGTAATGGGTAACATTACCTTGCTCAATCCCCATAGCCACGCTGAAATTAATTGGGGCTTTCTTTGTGACCTAGTATATGATCTATTTTGAAAAAAAATTCCATATTTATCAGAAAAGGTTTACTAAACGCCCCCCGTAATCTAGTGCATACGTAGTATATAGTAGTTGTTCAAAACTTTTTACTACTGAACTTGAATTAATTAAATGTGAATTCATCTTTTATCTTTATTTTAATTCTCCATGTCGTTTATTTTTACTATTCTCTTTGCCAATCTCCTGATTGATATCCTGCCTTCTCCCCTACCCACCTTCTTGAATAAAATGGACTTAGGGCAGATGTGTTAACATCTTCCATTTCACTTGGAGTTTTGACATTTTTCTTTGAATGTTCTACCATTTGTACTCTAGCATTTTCATGCTGTTACACAGTATATAAATATTTACGCGTACTATGATTTTACCGTGGATGGCATAGTTATCAGTATAATAAACCTCCTTTGCCCCATTAAGTGTGTTTGTCCTGATTTATTCTGAAATTCATATCATGACCCCTGCTTTCTTTGTGTTTGTATTCATTTAATAAATTCTTTTGTCTATCTTCTATGTTAAATCTTTCTGCATCTTTTTATTTAGATGAGCCTTTCTGAAGCAACTGAATTTTCGGTTATATAACTGAATTTTCTGTTTAAACCCAACTGGTGAATTTGTTTCCATTTTTGCCATTTGTTTTATGGTTTGGGGGTTTTCTAAACCCCTGCCATTTCCTGAGTTCTATGCTTTTGGGTTAAACTGACTGTACTCTATCTCTTCGTAGGTTCTCCAGTCATTTGAAAAGTGTAGTTCTTGTTTTACCCAGAATAGTTCATTCAGTCCTGTATTCAATTATGATTCTGTTCTGGGTGGCAGGCACAGTTCCAGGCACTGTGGCTATATGATAAATATATGAGCCTCAGAAGAATCTGTACAAACACATGAAAAGAACTCTTATCTCTTCTTTGCTTCCTCGTATATTTCAATTACTTTTTCACAATCACTCTTTGTTCAACCTAGTTTATAAGCACTTAGGCTTAACCACTTTGGGGGTTTTCCTGTGAAGGCCTCTTCCCGTTGCGGAGCACAGGCTCTGGACGCGCAGGCTCAGCGGCCATGGCTCACGGGCCCAGCCGCTCCGCGGCATGTGGGATCTTCCCGGACCGGGGCACGAACCCGTGTCCCCTGCATCGGCAGGCGGACTCTCAACCACCGCACCACCAGGGAAGCCCTGCTTTTAGACTTTTTATTCCTCTTTCTAATTTAAGCATTTTTGCCTCCTGACCCACCCTGGTGCTTCCCCACGAGGCCCCCTGTGATGTGCTGTGCCCCCTTCCCTTGGAAACTGTGAGCGACAAACTGTCTTTTCAGTGGCAGTCCTCTCCTGAGCTGTTGCCTCGCCAAACCTGAATAATAATAAAACCTACATTTTAAACCATCATCTTCCTCACGAAGCCTAAAATATTCACCACCTGGCCATTTATTGAAAAGTCTGCTGTCCCAGACTGAAAAGTACTGGGCCACCTGTAACTCTGAAATCACGTCACTCTTGCCCCAAGTCCGCGTCTTCCTCACCCACCATTTGCTCTGATATTAGGCTGAAACGGCTTTTGTCAGTCGCCATTGCCAGGATGTTGCCAATTCCGTGGGCACTTCCCTCTCTTCATTTTACCCCACACAAACTGATTTCCCTCATACAATTAAGCCCCATTTTCTCTTGGCTTCTATGCCAACAGCATGTTCTCTGGATCTGCGCCTCCTCCTGGGCTGCTTCCCTTTCTTCTCCTTTGCTGCCTCTTCCTGTGACACCAGACGCCAGCGAGTCCCCCCTCCCCCTCCCGTGCCCCATCTCTATACACATTCACTCTCTCTGGGGAATTAATTAAACACTTCATCTATACCAATGATCATGAATCTGTAACCCCAGCCCTGACCTCTCACATGTTCGACAAACTTCTATACTCGACAATCCTCTTACATCTTCTACGCTTGGGAGGTAACAGCTACTCAGTGTTTTCATACCAAAGTTAGAACTCCTAATTTGCTCCCGTAAAACTCTCCCCAGACTTCCCTATCTCTGCATTTTCCTTAATTTCTTGCTTTTTCTCTTTCTCTTACCTTTTTTCTTCCAGTTTTATTGAGATATAATTGACATACAGCGCTGTATATTGAACAGTGTGCTGATCTGACTTACATACATCAATCTGATACAACAGTTTAGTGAACATCCATCATCTCTTATAGATGCA